GCTTGATAAAGACGAAAGAATCATCGTCGAAACGTCGCAAGTTATTTATTAAAGTAATTGTTATCCATATAATTGTGTTCGTGTTAACTTGATTGTAATAAAGAAGTTTATTGTGACGGCGGTTTGGCACCAACTTTAGAATGAACAGCTCTCATATGACTTCCCCCGTCAACACAGATCACCTCGCCTGTTATATAGGAAGAATCGTCCGAGATTAGAAACTGGACTAGTTTAGCAACATCGTCAGGTTCCCCAACTCTACCTAGTGGATTCTTCACTGCCATATCCTTCTCTATCTGAAATAATAATTTGATATAGACCTACATATCATCAGAGATTCGTCTGGTTATTATTCAATATAAAAACAATATAGATTCCTGACTTGCTGTTCTTACCATTCTGCTATTTTACTTACTCAATTATAATTGATAAACTTTCTCATATGAAAAGTCCATAAGTTGCATTGCCAAATTCATTTTGGATTTCGGGTTTTGTTTTGTAGTTCTGATTGTTAGTTGATAGTGATCTAGCAACACATCATAATACCTACACCAAGTTAAACCGGGCGTCCACTTGAGAATTTTATAACACGAGTTCGCTCTCCGAGAGTTAACTCGCGAATGGAAGATATTTTGTGAGCAACTGTTGGACAGTCGCAACCAACTCTCGATAGAACTGCTGATTTCTCTCAAGTGGAAGGGGGTCTCCTATAAAATATCAGGCATCCGAACCCAGCTGTCTATAGAACTGCGGTGAGTGATTTTCTGTCAAGTGAAAAGGGGTCTGCTATAAACTGTCGAAGACTCGCAGAAAAACTCTCAAGTGGACCCCCGGCTTTAGGTCCTAAGAAAGTAAGATTATATTGAGTAACATTTTCGAGGTTTCTGTCTACCCATTAATATGATCTCTAGAGCCTAACGCTAGCTGTCAGTCAAATGTCATGTGATTAAGAAATTCTTGATGAATTCATTTCCAATTTGACTATTCTGATTGGATTAAAGTTATAGTTTACCTTGATAACAGCTTGTTGTGGTAATCCGGCTCGAAGAGAAAACTCGGATTTAGTGAAACCAGGACTGTAATAAAATAAATAATATAATTAGGAAACGAAGTTATCTGATTCAGAATATAATTAAGAAGATGTATTGAAAGTTAATATCATGGGTAGATGGCACAACACAAACTTATCAACTTGCAGGATTCTTGCAAACCTTGTCGTCTCTGTCAAAATATCTATCAGAGGCTAGAATAGAGGTCGATCAGATGTTAAGATCTAGTCTCATACCTGACACAGTTAACTCGAACACCAAACTCAGCTGTATCTGTAACAGAGAAATTAGTAAAACTTTAATAACCATGATGAACCTATCTTGTCTCTAGACCGAGAACCGGGAGAACCCTCTCCGACGCTCCATTGGCGGCTCTTGAATTTAACATCGACAGTTATCCCCCATAGATGATAATAATTATTGTGAAATATCAAAAAGGTAAACTCGTTTCTACCTACCCGCTGCCAAAACTCGTGTAAAATGATCCAATGAAGCTTTTCCCATAGAATACGCCAAAGCTGCCGTTAGCTGGAATGGAAAAAAGATGGCGATTACATATTTCCAAATATCCTCTTTGGTACCTGTCAACTCTTAAGGTCGTTTGTTACCTCATAAATCTTATATAGATGTGTTCTTTTATGCTAGGGGCAGACGAGAGTATTTTATCGCCGGCGTAAATAATCGGCCGAAAATATCTAACATTCTTTATATCGGCTGGGCGTAAAAAAATCGTCGTCGACATGAACGGGAATTTTTTGAGCGATTTTAAAATTCGCCGTGATCGGGCGATAATATACGCTCGTCGGTCCCAGATATTATTAGACTTCTTGTATCTAGGTATTCAACAAGGGAAAAATAGACCAGCATAGTAAAAATATGAATTGATAGGAATTATTCTAAAGCTTACCCCTGTTTGTCCGAGTATACTAGAAATATTAACTATCGTTCCTCTCGTCTGTTTTAAATAGGGTAAGGAAACTTTAGAAAAATAAAATGGTGCTCGAACGTTGACGTTCATCATTTCATCGTAGACTTTCATATCTGTATTCGATATAGATTGATATTTTCCAATACCTGCATTATTTATCTGAAATATTATAAATTATTCTTTTATTGTAAGATAGTACTCAGTCCATCACATGTAGTGACTTTTCTAGGAAACATGTGAAAAGGGGCCGAGCAGGGGCCACAGTTTCATTCTTTCACTATGTAAAATAAAAAGAATTAAAGGGGGAGGTGCGGGGTGGGATTTGTATAGAGAGGGGTGGTTTTATTCCAGGGAATTTGAGAATCTTTTCCTGTTTTCCATAACATATAGAAGTCTGTTAAATTGTTTCCAGAAAGAATGATAGACTTTAGACATATATATTTAAGGGAATTCCCATGACGTTCTGATGCAGTGAGCCTTCCCATATCTGTGGCCCCTACTCGGTCCCTCCACTTAATGATTCCTATAAATGCCACTTTTCAGAAAACCAATAGACCTAAAGTTTAAACAGCATCAAGGGAGATAACTCCAATTTAAAAATAAGAAAAATCCAATACTTACTAAGGAGTCTATCTGTTTAAATGTATTAACTGTGGTCTGTATCACGTGATCTATATCAGAGTCTATAGTTAAATCACAGCATATTACCAAAATCTACAAATGAAATGAAATGAATTCTTATGTTCTATTTTCCATGTGTTCAATCGGTGGTAGGCCTATTATTCCATAGGTTTTTCAAATTTACTATAAAGGGCCTCTACGGACTAAAGGACTAACTTTAATAACAGAACTTAAAAAAAAACAAAGAATACATTGTATCTTTAAAGAAATCTTGTTTAATACATGTACTCACGTTATCTTTATGTAGCCCATGTTTCTGGCACAATTCTCTTGTTTCATTTAATTTATCCACGTCTCGAGAACACAGAGCAAGTTTGGGTTGTAACTTGGCCAAATGAACAGCAATACCTCGACCAATTCCACTGCTAGCTCCTAAAATGAAATGAAATGAAGTTTTAAATCCTATTGCCATAATATAATATAAGGCAGAAGTGTTTTTCTTTTGATTTTCGAAACAAAAACGAACCCTACAATGCCTTAAGGGACATAGACATGAAATTGTGTTTAATGTGATTGGTCTAATCAAATAAAAAGGACGGTGTCTTAGTGTGCCTTATTAGGATAATGAAATGAAATGGAATTTATGTTCCACTGTTCCGTATCTTTTTGGACTAATGAAATAAAATAGAGTTTTATATTGTACTGTTCTGTATCTTATTAGACTAATGAAATGAAATAGAGTTTTATATCCTACTGTTCTATACCTTATTGGACTAGTGAAATGAAATGTAGTTTTATATCCTACTGTTCTGTATCTTATTAGACTAATGAAATGAAATGAAGTTTTATATCCTACTGTTCTATATCTTATTGGACTAATGAAATGAAATGAAGTTTTATATCCTACTGTTCTATATCTTATTGGACTAATGAAATGAAATGAAGTTTTATATCCTACTGTTCTATACCTTATTGAACTAATGAAATGAAATGAAGTTTTATATCCTACTGTTCAGAACCTTATAGAACTAGTGAAATGAAATGGAGTTTTATGTCCTACTGTTCTGTACCTTATGATATGAAATAAAGTTTTAGGTCCTGCATTATATGAGCGAAGGAACGACAGTCCGAGCAAATGAATGAATGAACGAACGAACGAATGAACGAATGAATGAACGAACGAATGAAGTTAAAACTTACCTGTTATGATGATAACTTTATCTTTTAAAGAGGCCATTTCAAAATATCTTTACTGGATAATCCTCACAAATATCTTCACTGGATAATTCTCACCATCACTGAAACGGGAAGGAACAGGAAAACTATAGTTCAATTTTGAAAAAACGAGGACACGGACTAGGATAGTGAAAGGCTACCTAAAAGAGATCGTAAAGAGGTTTTCTAATCTTTTGTATGTATATCGAGGACACTGATAACATCAATTTGAATCATTCCAATTTTCAATCAAACGCGTTTACAATCTCTTTAAACCACAGAATTGTAAGAGTTCTGTTTGTATGATTAGTTGAACAGCTGTACATTGCAGTTAAGTTTGACACCTCTGACCTCTTGACCTTCTGGGATTATAAGATAAGATATTTTATCATTATGAAACATAACAAGGGAAAGCATACAATCTACATACATTATACAATAATACAGTGTTAAAGATGGGTTTCCTTTTTTTTGTGTCAAATTATGCAAACTATTTGATTAATTGGTGTTTCTAATGAATTATCATGTATTCTTAATCATATCATTATGTTCTTATTGCATATAATTAAGAGTTTTAACCAAACATAAATGTCCATGTACAGTCTGGGTGAACAAAAAAAAAGACATTTTGACCTTTCTTGATCGGTCACTCATTGGAATTTTGCTTGTAATTCTCTTCTAATTAAGCTAATTATGAATTGATTATGGACATGTGAGACAAACTGGTATTTTTCCAAGTCATTAGAACACCTCAACTTTCTAATCATATAAGTATTAGCTTCTTCATTTTCATAAATGAAAATAAGGGAACGCATCTTTAAGATATAATAGAGCAAGTAATGGTTTAATTTCAGTGGGTGTATTCGGAAACTGCGCTGTGATCAGCCCCTGTCGTAAGGTGGGTTGCGGGCCCCAGCAAGTGAGAATTAAGCCCCAGCAAAACCTTCTTCAGTTCAGAAAAGATTGATTCCTTTACAGTGTCTTTGTACAAAATCAAAAAGATAGATATAGCACCTCACAATTGTCAGAAATGAGTTCTAGGTGTCATTCATTCTTCAAATTTTCTGAGTACCAAATCTGCACCAATTCATTCCTGGCGACGGGGCTGGCTGTGATACTGTTTAAATTGAACCCTGGTGGGGTAATAGTAGTAGAAAAAATGTAACATACCTCACAAAAGCCCGTTGAAAATTGAGTGAAACTCAACAATCAGTAAACTCGATAGGGATCTTATCACCGCCCCAGAGTAACTTAAAATATGACACGTTTAGAAGATTGCGTACATTTTAACCCTTTCAATACAATTGTTAAAACACAATAGAATGAACAATTACCTTGACAGAAAATGCGCCAGAGAAAAGGTTAATTAAACTTATTGTGTTAAACTTATAGTTTAATCTTAAGCCGTGAAAAACACGAAATCTGTTCATAATCCTTTCACAAATCCCAACTTGAAATTAAAGTTTTTTTTTTCGTCTTTAAACGTCGTCATGGTCATGTGTGTTTTTAGAGATGCCACATGTTTTCCAGCGGATTAAAGCAACAGCTTCACCATCCGTTTGACCAACTGTATCTTAGTCTCAGAAACGGGATTTTTTTTTAGAGTGGGATATCAGGTTGTTGCTGATCCCGAGACGATCATATTGATCATAGAATTTGTACAAATAACCCCCGTCTAACACTGTCTTTTCAACTAATATCATACTTATGACTGACTAATTGTCATATAATTAATAAGCTTATCTATTACTCCTGTGACCTAGGCCAGTGCTTTCATTGAGACTTGTCTCAATACACCTTAGGTCAGTCGGTTTGCAATGCGATTCTGGTGCCCGTGCTTCCCAGAGTCGTTCCTCGCCCCCGCCCTTCTGAACATGAGAAAATTTTCCTGGGAAGGGCCACTCAGACATCATTAGTGCCCCCTAATAACGGTAGCGGGGAGTGATATTGTTACATCACAAATGTAAAATTACCATTTACTGACGACATATCCGAATTTTCCTTGTGGAAATATGAATTCATTTTAGTGATATAAAACACTAATATTTTCCAAAAAACCCTTCTCAACCAAGTAATTAGAAACTGTTCGAAAATGAAACATTTCCATTCGGCAGTGACAAGGGCAATAACTCCCTAACTAATAATAAGACAACTTTAAGTTTTGGACTTGATATTTATTTTTTGTGTTTAAAAAATTGTGGATTAAAACTGGATATAAATGAGGTTGTTGATTTGGCCGTTATTAGAGACATGACCATAGACCAGCATGGCCACCATCCAATAAAAACAAACTTTTTAACAGATTAACATCACTTTTTGACTTTATTCAGCTCCAAACTTTTCTGTGCCATTTTCAGGACACCCTCATAAGTCTTATTTCCTCCAATAAAACCTCCAGCATGTACAAACACACAATCTTTAATTCCTGTTTTTTTACTCAATTCATCATCTCGTACCCCTCGCCATTCTTCTGGTAAAGATAATCTAAAAATAAATTTCAATTAATAACTACAGAAAAGACTGACAAAAGAGAGTCCACATAGAATACTCATCATCCCTTTCAGAGAGTCCACATAGAATACTCATCATCCCTTTCAGAGAGTCCACATAGAATACTCATCATCCCTTTTAGAGAGTCCAAATAGAATACTCATCATCCCTTTCAGAGAGTCCACATAGCTAATAATGTTAATTTGGTATTTACGTTTGTCAACTAAGTATCTCTTTCAGAGAGTCCACAAAAACTAATAATATTTATTTGGTATTTAGTTTGACCAACTCTGTATCTCTTTCAGAGAGTCCACATAGCTAATAATGTTTATTTAGTATATTCAAGATGATAAACATAATAAAATCAATCTACTGGTACCTATTTTGGAAGCCGCCATCTTGAAGAGGAACACACTGAACCCTCCATTGACCTGTTAAATCTTGATACAAAACATATTTTACTGGGGTCTCGGCTTTCAACTCCTCTTCCAGATTAAATAGATGTTCCTTCCAGGGTACCCCACCCTTCTCAAAACACATTACTTCACCACTAGGGTCTACCTATAAACAATAATACTGTCTTCATTAGATACAAAGACAGGATGTAAAACTCAAATACAAGGGATTCCAGGTTGGAATAAACAGAAATTGAGGAACTGGAAAAAATCTGCTGAGAGTCCAGGGGGCCACTGGGAGATTTTACCATTTTAAGATACTTTCTATATATAGAAATCTTTCCAAAACCGAAGTTTTATTTCAAAATAAGAAAAATACCACTAGTCAGAACCGAGGGGAATTCTTTTAAAAAGAGGTCAAAAAGGTGCAGAAAAGTAAGAAGTTAAACTGTGTTAAAGTATGTAATTAATAGATTCATTGATTATTAGAAAATGTAGGCTAATGCTGTCCTGGAAAAATTCCCTCATAACAAACTTGCCCAAATTACAGACAAAAAATTAAAAATGTAAAATCTCCATTTTATATAATTTATAAAGAAATGTAAAATACTTACATTATGTCTGTTATTGAAAGCTGTTAAAACAATATCTCGAGCTGGTAACCACGTATTTTTATAATAATTAATTCTTTCCATCAGTTCACTACCTGTCAGTTCCATAGCTTTTTCAAATAATTCCTACAATAAAGAGACTACAATTTTTACAAGGGCAACAACGGGTTCAAGAGACCTTTCTACTAAGTGGTCTTTGTTCAAACCTCTTGGCATTGATTTTTAATCTGATCTAACATTTTTACTTAGGATTACAACTTGGGTTTACAAAACCTTCCAGCTGTAAATGGGTACGAATAATCTTTAAAAGATCAACGCCAAGAGGTTTGGCCAAGAACCAGCTGGTAGAAGAATCCTTATCGTGAACCTAAGTGGTTATCCCTGTAAAATCATTACCAGGAGATTTGACCAAGGACGAGCTGGTAGAAAGGATCCTATGTATAATAATTAATAATAATTAAGGGAATTACATGTATGAGGGGGGACGGAAGGGGAGGTGTGGGGAAGCTTGTGAAACTATAAATAAAGGGAAGACAACTCACATCTCTGTTGTTCTGTGGTTGATTCCAGCCTGGATTCAGACATCCCACTCTTGAACTTAGACCTGTCGTTATTCTATACCTGAAAAAAAATATTTTCAATTATAATTTTTTTAACTGTGACAGCGAAGATTGTCAAGATAAAGTATCTTGGAAGTGTCTCAGTATCTAGCCCAACAAATCTGTTGACTTTTGGGTTGAGATTGAGTTCCAAGTTACATGGCCTTACCATGACAAAATCTTGTCGATAAATTGTGGTCGCGCTCGATTGTGGAGTTCTGTTGTAATTCTGCCCCCACGGCATGAAAGGAGATGCAGACATGTCACATTCAAAATTTTCCCATCTATTTCCTTCTCCGCCATTTTGAATTCTCTCTCCACACGAGCAAGTCACCAATCAAGCGGTTCCCATGTCTACTGAACAGGGTAGAGCCAGATTAGACCGAAAACATCAGTAAACATACTTAGGTTTTTCTTCTGTTTGATCTATACCATTATCAATTCCGTCAATTTCTTGGATAAACCGTTCATAGATTTTATCGAATATTAACTCCGTTATGGGATCAGTTTCTGATTTCTCCATCGTCTGTGATATCAACTGTCGACCAAAATGAAAGTAGACCAATCCAGCACTGCTTAATTTTGTCACCCAAATTTTTTTAGAGTCCAAACTATTGAAGTTCTCATTAAATGTCCTGAAATGAGAAAATAATGAGCAAATATTTTCAAGAGAAGCTTAAAGTACAAGTTAGACGTGGTTGATTTGGTTCTACATGACATGTTCAGATCTCTTATTTAAAGACGTGTGCTTATTTAGTTGAAAAGGCAACTAACACCATCAATGACTTATTTTTGGTGATACCCCCTACCACCCCAGAGGAAAGCAACTAGCCCAAGCCATATCTTACTTTAATGATACCCCCTACCACCCCAGAGGAAAGCAACTAGCCCCATCCATATCTTACTTTAATGATACCCCCTACCACCCCAGAGGAAAGCAACTAGCCCCATCCATATCTTACTTTAGTGATACCCCCTGCCACCCCAGAGGAAAGCAACTAGCCCCATCCATAACTTACTTTAATGATACCCCCTACCACCCAAGAGGAAAGCAACTAGCCCAAGCCATATCTTACTTTAATGATACCCCCTACCACCCCAGAGGAAAGCAACTAGCCCAAGCCATGTCTTACTTTAGTGATACCCCCTACCACCCCAGAAGAAAGCAACTAGCCCAAGCCATGTCTTACTTTAATGATACCCCCTACCACCCCAGAGGAAAGCAACTAGCCCCATCCATATCTTACTTTAGTGATACCCCCTACCACCCCAGAAGAAAGCAACTAGCCCCATCCATATCTTACTTTAGTGATACCCCCTACCACCCCAGAGGAAAGCAACTAGCCCCATCCATATCTTACTTTAATGATACCCCCTACCACCCCAGAAGAAAGCAACTAGCCCCATCCATATCTTACTTTAATGATACCCCCTACCACCTCAGAGGAAAGCAACTAGCCCCATCCATATCTTACTTTAATGATACCCCCTACCACCCAAGAGGAAAGCAACTAGCCCCATCCATATCTTACTTTAGTGATACCCCCTACCACCCCAGAGGAAAGCAACTAGCCCCATCCATATCTTACTTTAATGATACCCCCTACCACCCCAGAAGAAAGCAACTAGCCCCATCCATATCTTACTTTAATGATACCCCCTACCACCCCAGAGGAAAGCAACTAACCCCATCCATGTCTTACTTTAATGATACCCCCTACCACCCCAGAGGAAAGCAACTAGCCCCATCCATGTCTTACTTTAATGATACCCCCTACCACCCCAGAGGAAAGCAACTAGCCCCATCCATGTCTTACTTTAATGATACCCCCTACCACCCCAGAGGAAAGCAACTAGCCCCATCCATATCTTACTTTAATGATACCCCCTACCACCCCAGAGGAAAGCAACTAGCCCAAGCCATGTCTTACTTTAATGATACCCCGAAGCACCCCAGAAGAAAGCAACTAGCCCCATCCATATCTTACTTTAATGATACCCCCTACCACCCCATAGGAAAGCAACTAGCCCAAGCCATGTCTTACTTTAGTGATACCCCCTACCACCCCAGAAGAAAGCAACTAGCCCAAGCCATGTCTTACTTTAGTGATACCCCCTACCACCCCAGAGGAAAGCAACTAGCCCCATTCATAACTTACTTTTGGTAACACCCCAGAAGAAGAGGAAAGCAACCAACTTCAGGCATAAATTACCTTGGTGATACCCAGCCCCATCCATAACCTACTTTTGGTGATATCCCCCAAGCATCCCAGAGGAAAGCAACCAACTTCAGGCATAACTTACCGTTGGTGATGATCAAATCTATTTTTAACTGGATCATAAACTCCGCCCACATCCACGACTATGTCACAATCTTCCAGTATTTTATAGTCTCGAGTCCTGAAAAATAAATTCCATTAAAATATTTAAATATTCACAAAACACACTCTGCACAACTCTAAAACTCTATGGACAGGAGATCATTTCCTTCTGTAAAAATGTTGTTTTGTTATATCTAATGGATTTTAAAGGGATTGTAAAGAAGTCTTCTAAATTCTGTATGTTCAGTATATATATATACATACAAAATACCAAACCTCTTTACAATCCGTTTAAGTTGTTGACACTGCTTTTGAATGAAAAAGTAGGTTTTTTTTATTAAGATCCCAAACCTGATGATCTCAGCATTTTTAAACTCTGGTAGCTGTTTTAACATGAAACAAGCCAGAGCCTCGTCAGCATGAAACTGTCCATTATGAGTTCCAATCTGTCTCTGAACTTTTTTCTTTTTCTGTGGAGGTGAAGTAGAACTAATAATAGAGCTTTCATCCCCCATTTTCAATTTCTGTGTTGTTGAAATGTTTCTGAAATATAGGACAGAAATATATGATAAAAGCTTAAGGGTGTTTTTCACGTCAATAGCACAAGATTTTTATAATGCCATCCTGCATAATATGTGATTTTCAACTTGATTCCGATGGGGTTGGCCAGGCACTGCAGGTCTTCTTCAGACCTCTGTCTGTGAAAACAATATCTAACAGCTTGTACAGGAGTGTGCACATATAGGACAATGCATTTTTTTAGCATATTGGTCGCCGTTATTGGATTTTCATATGATAAAACTAAAACCACTGTCTACGAACTAAGCTATTCGGTGACCTTTGGTGAGATATTGACAAAAACAAAACAAGTTTAAGAACATATTAAACCAAACCTGAGGAATGTGTAAATCAGACGTAATGTACTTTTGTTCGATTGCCGAACTGTAAATGGTACACGTGAAAATAGCGCCGTTTTGAAAAATAAAGGGGAATTCCCTATTAGTTAATAAGAGTTATCTTCCCGGAAGTAGTAAAAGATTCCAGACCACAAATATTTCTTCCATTGGCACGAGAACACGACAAAATTATTGATAGATCAAATCCCTGTTATTTTCAAAACGGGGCCCTTGTGTTTACATATCGCTACACTAAGCTTTAGATGGAACGTGGACCAGTTTACTTGTTTTCAAAACGGCCCCGATTTAGAAATCCTCTTCACGATCCCTTTAACAAGAAAATATCTTCCAATAGTTAAGGTCAATGAAGTGCACTTCTCCCAAATCCATATTTTGCCCAGCCCTACAACCAGGTATAATTCTAAACATATATATAACCAGTCCACTATTTTGACATTTTAAAGGGACAGGTTCACCATCCGTTGGACCAATTGTACTTTAGTCTCAGAAACGGGAATTGAGTCTTGAATATGTAAACAATACTAGAAATGTACGAATACAATTCCTTCAAAAATATCTCAAACTAGGAATTTCTTTTCCCATTCCTATGGGTGTCTTTTCTATATATATATATAAATATTGCAACGTCTCAAACAAGACGACCGTCTTTTTAACTTTCAACCGCGGATAATTCTGGACACACATGGATTTGAAGGCTCAAATTTGGCGTTGAGCTGTGAACACTCTAATTATGTTAACATTTAACTTGCAGCTTGTTTTATCATAAATCTTTACTTTGTGACCCAGGCCAGTGCTTTCATGAGACTATGTTCACATCACCATCTAAAAATATAACTGATTGACTGAAAATGAAGTATTATTGGTCCAAAAAAAAATAGCACATCTGTGTCCAAACCATGCCCCGATTCGTCATACTTCCTCGAGGTTAATAAGACCATGTCAAAACCAGTATTTTTGTGTGATACGATGGTGAAGACAGAATTAAAAATGACACAGAATGAATGTGACGTAACCGCGCTTGTGTACCATTCGATTGAGGTCATAATTGGAAAACACAGAAACTGTTCAGAGCTCTGCAATTGAGCGCCACCTAGGTTAGTCTTGGATCAACACTCATACAAAAATCAAACGAATAAAACTTTTGGTTAATGTGAATTCTTTATTTACAAAAAAAAAAATTGATCAAAAACTATGAAAATAAGAATGTCTTTATGGGAGCAGAAAATAGGTGCTGACAATATATTATGTTTCAACAAATCTAAATGGCTATACCTTTTTTCTCCAAAATATGTGTCAGAATGCACATCATCAATTCAAGTTTTCTTGCGAGAACCCTCTAAGACGTTCAAAGAGAGGCTTGCGACTATGACACCACCACAGAGTAGCCAAAATTTGAATTCAACCTCAACAGTTGTTCCCATTGAGTCAATCTGCCCTTCAGTCTCGGAAGGCTGGCGAGGTCACTGGGGAAACTACCTAAGTATGCTTTATATTATAGGGCTTGACCAAATTCACATACCCTATGCCAATTTTTTTTTATATATACATGAATAACAGATATAATAGGTGAAATATAATAAACACTAATATATTGGGGGGGGGGGGGGGGGGGGGAGAGAAAAATGTTATATATTCACATGGTCTATGCCAATTTTTTTTATATATACATGAATAATAGATATAATAGGTGAAACTATAATAAACACTAATATATTATTTTATATATACACAATAGAATAGTACATAATATTAATTGATTAAACGGGATATGCAAATTACATGTACCTTTATATGTTTTTGAGATCGGAGACAGGTTTAATGTTGGCTTTTTTGAGGATTATAAACTTGGAAGATTAATTTATACTGTGGGGGTATTGAATTAATACGATAACCGATTTAAGATTCATGGTTTATGGTGTAGCCTGACATGAGTTTTTAAAGTCACTGTTGTTCGAGTGTATAGCTTTTTGGCGACGTTTGATTTGTTTCACTCTGAGGCTTAGTGGGAGAATTACCGGAAGCCAAATAAATATCAGAGAATGCTTTGAGTATATCGGTCTTCTGTTCGTCAAATACGGAATTATTTGTACCCGGTACACGGAATGGTTTGCAAAGGTTAAACTGACCAGCCAGTTTAGAATCATTGATTAATAAAGGGAATATTTCCCTGCCATCTGTGTGAAATTCCTGGAGGGTCATTTCCATTACGTAATCTAAGTGGTCGCATTTTTTGTCATCGTTTATGATGCAGATTGCCATTCTACTGCTGCCTAGTATGATTCCCTGACCTTCCAGGATAGAATGTCCAGCAATAACATCATTCGTATTATATGTGACTTCCAAACCAATTTCAAACAACCAGACTGCTAAACATTTCCCTAATTTACTTGATGACTTATCACTCTCGTTGTACAAGATCACTACATCATAAGAGAAGTTCTGATCAAAATGTACGACTGATTCAGCTAGCATGCGATCTTTGTTTACAATAGCATAATCCAGCATCTCCTTTAGAACTTCAAATTTGAATTTATGACAGTCAGAACCTTCTTTAGATAACAGGAGTATTGCTAATAAGTCACGAGCTTCATCAAACTGTTTCAATTTTAGACGATTGTTAATGATACCTTGTATGATTTCGATGTCTTGTCCACTTGAGTCTTTCAAGTTATTGTACAACTCTTTATAAAGTTCCAAAGAAGGACCATATTGTCTTATTAGATAGTAAATATGAGCTAATTGTTTCCTTTGTTGGTCATCGCTTTTAGAATCATCCCCTAAGATCATTTCCCGCAATGAGCAACAATTCTGTTCGGCGTCATTAAAGTATTCATGTAATTCCATCCTTTGGCAATCAGCCCAGCATCGAATAGCTCTTGTGAACATTTCGTACGCGTCTTTACGATGGTATTCTCGGTCTTTATCATGTTCGTCTTCACTCATCTTCATCCGACAAATTCCAGCCTGCTCGTAAGCTTTATAGCGCAAATCCTTAGAATCGCTATTATTTATCACAATGTTGAATTTTTCGAGCGCTGCCTCATAGTTTTGAGGAGTCATGTGTAGTATTGTCAGTCCCCAGTCATAACAGGCAGAAAAATTGGTATTGTTACTGTATTTAACTGATCTCTGGAGAAGCTCTAAACAAGGAACAAGTTGCCTGGACTTGTATTTGCCAAAGGTTTTAAAGTTTGGTGACTTGATAATGGATTTCATTGAAGCTTGTTTTGGCGGTGTCATCTGTTTCTCAACTTGTGTAGGTACAGATTCTGGAACACGCGGTCGTTGATCCAAATGGTTGCTTGGTTGAATTGGTGGCGTAGGACATGATTCATAATTTGGCTGCGCTCCTTTGTGCTTTGTTTCAGGGCTCTCCAAAATACCTTCAGATGCACGAGTCGTTGATAAAACTTTATGGGCCGTATGTGTATTATCAGAATAGATCTTTTCTGAGGTTTTGTTAGTTCTGACACCTAAAGACATCATTTTAAAGTCTGGGACCAATTCATTCTCCAAATCATGAAAAGTACAATGCTCCTGAACAGCACAATCTTCTTCCAGGCCTGGATTTGTAGAACTACCTCTCTCTTTAGTTTGTTGATCAAGTTGGACTTTTGGACAGTTTGCCTCTGATTTGAATAATTGTTTCTTGTGAGTTTGTTGGTGTGACGTATTTGTTGGAGTGGACCAAGTGTGAGTGGTTGTATTCGTCCTCGTAGGCTTATCTCTGGCATCCTGCCACTTAGAAGAACCTTTCCCACGCCTTTTCTGTATTTGCGATTTGCCAGCATGGTTATTAGTGCTGTGGTAACTAGGTCTGTTACAGCCACTCTTGTTATAATTTGCATGTCTGATGTTACTTATCTTGATCAATGCTAATTGATGACAGTTAAATGAGTTAGGTCGTAGTTCATTAGCCTTTTGAAGATATTCTTCAGATTCAAGATATTTGCGAATGTATTTCATTACTTTCCCTGCTTTCATCAAAATCGAAGCACATTCTGGGGCCAGCTTGACACCTTCTTTAATTGTGCTATATATCTTATCGTCAGAAGAACTTTCGATATCAGGGAAAATATTTTTTAAAGCTAATAAGTTTGCCAGCTCTATATAAGACCGAGCTTTATAAATAGGTTCAATATCATCGCTGCGTATATTGTTCTCAAACAATTCCTTGGCACGTTTGAAACATTGGCTTACCGATATGTTCAAATCAGGATGGAGAGACCTGGCTGATAGATGAAGGCATCTTCTATAGAATAAAGCGAGACCGAAGGCCCATATGGGATATTCCGGTTTATCAGCATATTTGGAAACAAGTTTTTCTGATTCATCAATTCCCTTTTTGTAATGTTTTGGATCCAATCTTGACCATGCATAACACAGTTCACCTTTGGCAATGTCTATTTTGTAAGGATCTTCTGCCAATTCATTTAGTTTCTCCATAATTTCCTTCGCCTTTGTTATCTTTCCCTGAATATACCACATTTTTGCCATCATAACACATGCATTGATGTTGGTCCAATCTGATTTTGTTAAGACTTCCAAAATATTTGACTCTGCATGTTTCATATCTCCAAGATAAAAGTAAACACAACCAAATAAGTTAAGGTTTCGAAATCTATCCATTTCACACATATCTTCAAAGTCCTCCGTTTCATCATCAAGTTTTTGTTTCAATTTTTTCCACCGACGTAAATTCGAATAGTCTGCACCCATTTGAAAATAATTTGGGAATTTTTCCAGTTTTTTGATAAAAGCCTTATATTCATCGTCGTTTTCCATTTTGCTTACTTCAGGCTACCTGAAATAGAGAATCAAAAATATATTATAAAAAGTCATCAATTGTGTAACTATGGAAAGACCTTGAAAAGGGTCAAAACAGGGTGGCAACCTAGCATTTATTACCAAGTATTAGTGGTGTGATAAATCCTAGTTGAAATGGCAAGACATTCAGATATAAGTGGTGTGATAAGTCCTAGTTGAAATGGCGAGACATTCAGATATAAGTGGTGTGATAAGTCCTAGTTGAAATGTCCAACCATTCAGATATAAGTGGTGTGATAAGTCCTAGTTGAAATGTCCAACCATTCAGATATAAGTGGTGTGATAAGTCCTAGTTGAAATGGCGAGACATTCACATATTAGTCTACATATTCACCTATTCTAGATATACAGCATCGTGTCCAAGCCAAGGTACGATGGATATTGAAGGTCTTTTTTTAATTATTGATAAAAACACTCAAACGAATTGTCGATTATATATATACACAATTACATATTGAATACAGCCTGCATAGTATGTTATTCACGTCTCATAGTAGGAGACTTTTCATACAGTATACTAACTAGTCACGAGAGCGCCTTCCTCAATGACGTAATTGTTATAATGTAAGCCGCCATTTTTGTATTTCATGTAGGCCTATTATATTATTATGGTATTACATCGAATAAATGAAGTCCTTACACTCTATGTTCACAATTATTAAACGTGACAATAACTACCTTATCATAAATCACATGATTATCATAATAATTATCTGCTTATCAAAAATTTAAAGAAATTCATAGAATAGAGATAATTCCAAGTCCCATAGTTTGGCACTAGGCCTAGCGTATCAAGCAGAGTAGGATATGCTTACTCTTCTAGACAACTGATATCACTTTTCATTATGAAATACTTAGGCTACTCACTTATTATTTATAAACTTCCTCATGTGAAAATTTCATCAGCTGCTACCTATATTTTGTCAATAAGTTGTTACTTACCGATTTCGGGTTTCGTTTTGCGGTTCGGATCGTTAGTAGCCTAGGCCCTAGCCACTAGGCCTACTTGGTCTATTTATCTGAAAGGATCATAGCCTAACTTGTACGTAAACAGTTCCTTACCAGTATTTATATTACCACTTCCACTTTCAATATGAGACTCGACATAAACCTCTCGACATCAAAAGCCTAATTATTTAATTCGTGAGGGGTTATTCTCTTTCCATCCAGGACATGTTCGAGTCTTCGACTATCACGGACAAACTGATCAGTTGTCGTTAAAAAGAGGGTGTATATCTAAGATATCAGAAAAAAATGCAGACCCCTTTCGTATCTGAACATAATTTTAATAATGAAAGTAGCAAGTAGTTTATAGGTTGAAAAATAGTCTGCCCACAATGACTAGTTGCGTTTCTAGGAAACATAGATGAGGGGCCGAGGATATTATTTCACTTTAATTTATTCAAACCTACCTTTGTACGTAAAGCAATGGTTGTTTGGAATATTGGAAAAACCTTGACGCGAAAGGATATTTGCAAAAAAAATTGCACAAATATACATAATATTATGCCTCATGTAGCACAATTAATATTTTATCTGGAGGCACAATACAGTCTGCAGGATAAGGGATATTGGAGTTTCAACTTAGGAGAGAATTAAGACTGACCCGGCTGACCCCAACTTTTAAATTGTGTCTCCCCTTGATAATTTGTGGCTCCTGCTCGTCGCCTTACATATTTTTCCTAGAAAACGGCACTGGTCCATATATGTCTTCAGTCGGTAAGGATAATGGTAACTCTTGGTTTCATTGGTGACCTGGTAGAATTTAGTAACAACAGTCTGAGATAGGCGTTTTCCATAGAAAGACAGGGCATGGGGAATGATGGGGAGTTTCTCCTAGGGGTGTTTTTTTAAGTGGGAATTCCCAATTTGTTGATAAGAGTTATCTTCCCGGAAGTAGTAATAGATTCCAGACCACAAATATTTCTTCCATTCGGCATGAGAACACAACAAAATTATTGATAGATCGAATCCCTGTTATTTCAGATCGGAACCCTTGTAGTGTTTACTTGTCGCTACACTAAGCTTTAGATGGAATGGCGGACCAGTTTACTTGTTTTCAAAACGGCGGTATCACTTTCAGTTCGGAAATGGAACAAAATTTCTTCTCCTGTAGCTGTGAATTCAATCTTCCTCAGGTTGGGTTTTATCTCATTCTTGTTGAAATTTACGTAATGCAATAAATGACATTTTTGAATTTTACACCTCCTCCCCCCGTTTTACCTTGCAACACAGGCAGGTAGGCCTATCCCCTTCCTTGTTTCAAAGCACTGGATCTACCCCCCTCCCTCGGAACCTGCGATTTTGATAATTGATTTGTAAAACTGATTTCCCTAAAATATTTGAGTATTTAACTTAATATGTACCCTGTATTTCAGAAATATTTCATCTTCACAAAAAATGAAAATGGCTGATAACAGATCTTCATCTTCACCTCCACAGAAAAAGAAAAAAGTTCAGAGACAGATTGGAACTCATAATGGACAGTTTCATGCTGACGAGGCTCTGGCTTGTTTCATGTTAAAACAGCTACCAGAGTTTAAAAATGCTGAGATCATCAGGTTTGGAGATCTTAATAAAAAAAAAAACTTTTTTATTCAGACATCTGTGGTTCCTAAAATTCCACAAAAACTAAGTGTTTGATGACGTCACTAATTGCAAGAGCCTTAGCTTACATGATAAGGCATATTTTTAGATTACTTTTTCATTCAAAACCTATGTCAACAAATTAATATAAACATCTCTCATGAAGAATACCAGTCATCTTGTCCCCAAAATATTGCAACTACAAAAGTCAACTTGTCTTCAATACAGAAATTGTCGAGTCAACTCATCGACAAAAAATAATGTGATCAGATACCGCATACGTATATATTTTAAATGACATAAAATTCAAAAAAGTCTTTTCCCGATATTTTTTATATGGTAATTTTATGTGTTTTAAACACCATCATCTGTTAGATATCTCACAACAACATTTTAACACTTGTTTATAGAAGAAAATGGTCTCCTGTTCCATAGAATTCTGCACAATACAAACTTTAAATTATAATGAAATTTATTTTCAGGACTCGAGACTATAAAATACTGGAAGATTGTGACATAGTCGTGGATGTGGGCGGAGTTTATGATCCAGTTAAAAATAGATTTGATCATCACCAACGGTAAGTTATGGATGGGGCTGGTTGCTTTTCTCTGGGGTGCTTGGGGGATATCACCAATGGTAAGTAATGCCTGAAGTTAGTGAACTTCTGTCCCCTCTTCTTAGGGGGGGTGTGACCAAAGTTAAGTTTTGGGTGGGGCTAGTTGCTTTCCTCTGGGTGCTGGGGGGTAGTACTCTCTTGGGATACCACCAAGAATGTAGATGCCAATACAGTGTACTCCGTGACATCAGACACCTGGTTATACCAACATTCTGAGTAATCCAACATCTTTTTTTGGGTCCTGATTGATTTCCATCTTATGTCAGTTTAAGTTTTTTTCTCTTTTAAGGACATTTAATGAGAACTTCAACAGTTTGGACTCTAAAAAAAGCTCTGTGACAAAATTAAGCAGTGCTGGATTGGTCTACTTTCATTTTGGTCGACAGTTGATATCACAGACGATGGAGAAATCAGAAACTGATCCTATAACAGAGTTAATATTCGATAAAGTCTATGAACGATTTATTGAAGAAATTGATGGAATAGATAATGGTTTACCTATACATCAAATAGATGGAAGACTTAAGTAAGTTTTATCAGTATTAGGTTATTAGCAGTGGTGTAGTTTAGGGTGGAGTGGATTTGGTCATGATCCCCCATCCCTTATGCCTATAAAAGGTCTCATTTTGAAGTAAAAACTAAGCTCTCTAAATGCTTAAAACTCATCTCAAACCATCTGAAATTTGTCGGATCTGTAGTCTCTAGATCCCTGGCCCCGGAGATACACCTCATTTTTGCCCCCAACGCCCTCAGGTCAGGATGCACAGGAGAATAAATACGACTTGGACAGGCTTTCTCTTGGTGTTCACAGTAACAAAAAGGATTTTGAAATTTTTTCAGTTATAGAATATCCACGAATTTAAGTAGCAGGGTTAGAAAATTAAATCCTGACTGGAATCAACCACAGAACAACAGAGATGTGAGTTGTCTTTCCTTTATTATGGTTTCGCCCCCTTTTTTATTTTTAAAAAAGAAATTGCTTGTTTTTTTTTTCGAGGAAAACCATAGTCTATTATTAGCAATTTGTTGTGCCATACTTGGATTACTTACTATGAAAGCCAAATAAAATCTTAGAGGAAAGTAGAAGGAGCTTAGGTGTGCTACAATCAGTACATTTAGATGTTATTGCATGGCTGAAGCTCTATCCCTATATTTTAAACAAAACTCATGATTTGTAAGAGCTTCTATTTCATTGGATAAAAATTAAGGTGATCGATGTCGTCATAAGGTCAAGCATTTGTGGGCATGGGTTCTAGTCTTGATCGATATGTGATAGTCCTTGACCTTGAATAAGTCATTTTCCTCATTATTGCAGTCAACCCAGCTGTAAATAGGTACAGATAATCTTGGAAAGATCAATGCCAAGAGGTTTAGCAAAGGGACCAGCTTGTCTTGTGATCCCAAGTAAATCTTAAGTAAAAATGTAAGTTACTTTCTGTCTTTTTTGTAACACTATAAACTTTCTTGTAGGAATTATTTGAAAAAGCTATGGAACTGACAGGTAGTGAACTGATGGAAAGAATTAATTATTATAAAAATACGTGGTTACCAGCTCGAGATATTGTTTTAACAGCTTTCAATAACAGACATAATGTAAGTATTTTACATTTCTTTATAAATTATATGAAAAAGAGATTTTACATTTTTAATTTTTGTCTGTAATTTGGGCAAGTTTGTTATGAGGGAATTTTTCCAGGACAGCATTAGCCTACATTTTCTAATAATCAATGAATCTATTAATTACATAGTTTGACACAGTTTAACTTCTTACTTTTCTGCACCTTTTTGACCTCTTTTTAAAAGAATTCCCCTCCGTTCTGACCAGTGCTATTTTTCTTATTTTGAAATAAAACTTCGGTTTTGGAAAGATTTCTATATATAGAAAGTATCTTAAAATGGTAAAATCTCCCAGTGGCCCCCTGGACTCTCAGCAGATTTTTTCCAGTTCCTCAATTTCTGTTTATTCCAACCTGGAATCCCTTGTATTTGAGTTTTACATCCTGTCTTTGTATCTAATGAAGACAGTATTATTGTTTATAGGTAGACCCTAGTGGTGAAGTAATGTGTTTTGAGAAGGGTGGGGTACCCTGGAAAGAACATCTATTTAATCTGGAAGAGGAGTTGAAAGCCGAGACCCCAGTAAAATATGTTTTGTATCAAGATTTAACAGGTCAATGGAGGGTTCAGTGTGTTCCTCTTCAAGATGGCGGCTTCCAAAATAGGTACCAGTAGATTGATTTTATTATGTTTATCATAACATTATTAACTTTGTAGATTCTCTGAAAGGGATGTTGAGTATTCTATGTGGACTCTCTGGAAAGAATGTTGAGTTGACAAACCTAAATACCAAATGAATATTTTTGCTTTGTGAACTTTGTAAAAAGGGATGTTGAGTTGACAAAACAAAATATCAAATAAATATTATTAGCTATGTGGACTCTCTGAAAGGGATAATGTGTATTCTATGTGGACTCTCTGAAAGGGTTAATGTGTATTTTATGTGGACTCTCTGAAAGGGATGATGAGTAGTCTATGTGGACTCTCTGAAGGGATGTTGAGTATTCTATGTGGACTCTCTGAAAGGGATGATGAGTATTCTATGTGGACTCTCTGAAAGGGATGATGAGTATTCTATGTGGACTCTCTGAAGGGATGTTGAGTATTCTATGTGGACTCTCTGAAAGGGATGATGAGTATTCTATGTGGACTCTCTGAAAGGGATGATGAGTATTCTATGTGGACTCTCTGAAAGGGATGTTGAGTATTCTATGTGGACTCTCTGAAAGGGATGATGAGTATTCTATGTGGACTCTCTGAAAGAAATCTGAAAGTAATAATCTTATGTCAGTATTTGCTATGATTACTAATTTAAATTTATTTTTAGATTATCTTTACCAGAAGAATGGCGAGGGTTACAAGATGATGAATTGAGTAAAAAAACAGGAATTAAAGATTGTGTGTTTGTACATGCTGGAGGTTTTATTGGAGGAAATAAAACTTATGAGGGTGTCCTGAAAATGGCACAGAAAAGTTTGGAGCTGAATAAAGTTAAAAAGTGAAAGTTGAATATAAATAACTTAAACTGTGATACAAAAAACAGGGGGATCTGTGAACAGTGGTTCAACTAGATAGTGGGAACCCGTGGACATAAGTTGGTTGGGGCCCCACCCCTGGAATTTTTAACATATGCTCTCCACCATTCTGAGATCCCTCTGTAAGTCAATTTAATGCCTGTTAATGGAGGATTAAAAGATTGTTAGTCTATAGTTAATGCTATTTCACACATTAATATATTACTGGTTGTTTAGTTTAATTATAATTATATACTTTGGTATATTTTTTTTTATTTGTATTTTTTATCTGGGGGGTGGGGGCCCGTGGACTGTGTTCAATCTGTCCCTATAGTAGTTGAGCCACTGTCTGTGAATTGACATCCTATTGTCTTTGACAAAGTAAGTTATTGCCCTTGACATAGCATAATGAGATTTATTTTCAAGTAATTTCCAGTCTGCATCCCTACTGAAGTTGGACAGATAGAACTTATTGGAATTTTTGTAGTTTGCAATAATTAGATGATTTATAGGTTATCTATCGTTTTTTACATTCAGTCCTTGAAAGTAGACGCCCACATCAATTCTGAATACTGTAGTAAAAGCTGAAGCCATACAGAAAATGAAATATGTCAAAAAAAGAAACAACTTTTTTATTATAAAATATAAGGCACAAAATCAAAATGTATTTGGTGTCAATTTGAATACAATATTTCACTGACCATCAGCGGAACAATTCACCAAAACTTTCCTCGAACTGTTTAGTTGGCAGCTTAATTAAGGGACAAGTTTGCCATTTATTTGGATTTATTTTAGTTAAATATGAAATTGAGAAATGTCCCCAATAACTCGTAATTTCTGAATTTTGATGAAACAATATGGCAGCCAGCTTGAAATTTGAAAATCAAAGAAAAAATTATGTGACTATGAAGCACACCCTGTAATTAAATTTCGATAATTGAGCACATTTGCTCAAACAAAAGTGCAGGTTTAAATTACCAACATTTCTGGGTCTCATTCCGCAAAATATCTTATGATCAATTTTGTCGAAGTGTTATATTACTCAATGTAAAGAGTGAACACCTACGACAATATTTATTGTAAGATATTTTGTGAAACGGGCCCTGATTTTGAAATTACTAGTAGAAAACTTTCCACTTTCCCAGAGATAACAAATACTACTATATAACTAATTAATTTTATAATAAAAGCAAAAAGCTACTAAAATATTAGACAAGACTAGCAAACAATGTGGCTTAAAAATCAAGAGCAAATTTATCGCTCTTTCTGACATGAAATGCTTACACAAGACAAAAATTGTGTTTTAAAAAAACAGCGGCAAGAAAAGAAGATTTGAAATTACCTTCAGGGTTTTCAATACTTTGGTCATGTAATGATATAAAATATATAAGGTATTTACTAGTAAGTAAGATCAACATTTTTAATATAAAATACAAAACAATAACAATATTTTACAAAAATACAACAACTATAACACATTTTCAAAAATATAATAACAATATAGAAAAGTTCATAAATGCATAAAAAAGATTAGATCTTGGGTTTTTAAGCAGTGGTTCCCAACCTTTCTCAGCCTTCAGAAGCCTGGAGCAATCACCTGGACCTTTCACACCCCCAAAAATTTGTTTCATCCACATTTCCAGCATGTGATGATGTGAGGTGCTGTCTCAATTAAAAAAAAATTCTTCTCATACACCAGTCGGCCACACCCCTGACACCCTAGTCCCACATCCCCAGGTTGGGAACCAAGGTTTTAAAGAAATACAGTGGAGTAAAATAAACAAGATTTTGTTAAAGTGTAAGTAGCCTTCATGCCACAGCAATCATCAGGTATGTATTCTTGAAACGATCTTAGTGTTAGGATGTCCTAGAATCAATGTTAGAAGATAAGAACTGAGGACATCCTAGAATCAGTGTTAGAAGATAAGAACCTAGGATATCCTAGAATCAATGTTAGAAGATAAGAACCTAGGATATCCTAGAATCAATGTTAGAAGATAAGAACTGAGGACATCCTAGAATCAGTGTTAGAAGATAAGAACCTAGGATATCCTAGAATCAATGTTAGAAGATAAGAACCTAGGATATCCTAGAATCAATGTTAGAAGATAAGAACCTAGGACATCCTAGAATCAATGTTAGAAGATAAGACCCTAGGACATCCTAGAATCAATGTTAGAAGATAAGACCCTAGGACATCCTAGAATCAGTGTTAGAAGATAAGAACCTAGGACATCCTAGAATCAACGTTAGAAGATAAGAACCTAGGACATCCTAGAATCAATGTTAGAAGATAAGAACTGAGGACATGCTAGCGCTAAGATCGTTTCGAGAATACGTGGCCTCATCTTAAGGAAATCAATAATCAATCATTAAGATTAAGTGAATACAATGGTGTAAATTTGGCAAGATTTTTTTACTTTTTCTTCCAAAAATGGGTAGATTTTCTTTTTTTTCAAAAAATTCCAATTAAACCATCAACAGGTGGATAAATCAATTAAGTTAAAATATTTTTACAAAAATTTCTTTTTATAAAAATAAAAAAATTGAGATGATTAGTTTGTTAATTATAAAAAAACAAATTCATATCCAAAAATTCAGTAAAATTCAATTTTACAAAGACAGTAAGAAAAGTCTTATTTTATTGACTAGTTTAAAGGAATACTTCCTCCTAGAATCAGGTGACACTTACCTAGTGCCATAACTATTCAATTTTTATTCATCATAGAATTATTAGATACTTTGAATTGAGAGCTGACACCAGGCCGACTCTAGGAAGCACTGGCACAGGCATCCACATTGTTTTGCCTGGAGGAGGATTCAAACACTTGGCACCTTGCTACCAACGGAGCTACTACTACAGGGATACAATGACACCAAGATAGTTATGACACCAAGATAGTTATACACCAAGATAGTTATGACAACAAGATAGTTATGACAACAAGATAGTTCTGACCCCAAGATAGTTCTGACCCCAAGATAGTTATGACACCAAGATAGTTCTGACCCCAAGATAGTTATGACACCAAGATAGTTATGCAAGATAGTTCTGACCCCAAGATAGTTCTGACCCCAAGATAGTTATGACACCAAGATAGTTATGACCCCAAGATAGTTATGACACCAAGATAGTTATGACAAGATAGTTATGACACCAAGTCCACTGATGAATATATAATGTTACTGCCACAGTTTGGAATTTTATGTCTATTTATCAGAGGTAGTCTTCCTTTAATAAAGGCACTTTGGAAAGTCTTGTGGCACAACAGAAATGTCTTTAAATAATACAAATATAAGAAAAATTATAAAGAGAAGTGTCACTAGAATCAAGCTAATTAACCTAGTCCAAAAATCAATGCCATTTCACATTAGATTCGACATTAAAAGCAATTATCCAAATCATCAAGAAATAAATGCAATGAATGGAGTTTTACATCCTACTTTTCTGCACGGGTTAACGCCAACGCCATGCAGGCTGCAATGAGGGAAATTTTGCCAGGACAGCGGCATTAGCCTGCTCTTTTTCAATTTCCAACTGTCGACGAATCTATAACGTGCACAGCCTGTAGCACACAGGGGCCATTCAAACAACTAGACGCTCTTTCTATGTTCCAAATTGTCAAGTAACTATCATCTGAAATTTGCTCAGTCTAGACTGCCACAATAGCTTTCAATTAAAATTGAAATTAAGGTAGACAATATATACATACCTAAATCAACTACAACCATAAATTGAATATACAAATCACTTACTTACAAAAAAGTAAGGTGGGTCATATATACAAACCTAAATCTACCACAAAAGCTATTAATTTCAATCAAAATTATGGTAGACTACATATACATATCACAAACTTCCAAACAATCCTTTACAAGTCACAAAAAGTATCTAAAAATTGGTACAAATTGTTAAGAAATGTCCTTCCTTAATCCTTAAAGGTGGACATCAACAACAAATCACCAAAATAGTTATTACTGTAACATCAGATAAAGGTAGACAAGAAATGGAAACTATCACCATAGACATTATATTAAGTTAAGGTAGACAAAAAATACACATTACAAACCACTAAAACGATAACATGTGTATAATTGAAAATGCAATCAAATTATGCTACAACCTGAAAAAAATTCCGTTCTTGTTTTTCATGTCCTTACTGAAGAACAACATTACAGTGAATATCAGATTAGGATAAGGCAGACATTATTTACAAATAACAAATTACCAGCAATCAATTCTATAAAAAAAACAGTAACAAATCATCACGATTTTGCATAATGGTGGAATACACTTGACAAACTGTCATAGACTAGCAACAAATAAACAAATAACAAAAATCTCGTAGACTTCTATAATGCTTCATTTTCATTTTCTGGTTGCATGACTACATTATCATGACTACTTGTGTCATGATTTTCAGTTTCCATGGCAACATGTTGTAAAGGTGATTCTATTGCACCATCGCACTAAAAAATAAACAGATAAAATATAGGGTTTATGAAATACTGTTGTCTGATTGGACAACAGTGTCTACACTGATGCTAACAGTGTCCTCGATACACATAAAAATTAAGAAAACCTCATTACAATCCCTTTAAGACAAAGACTCAAAATGACATAAAACTTACTGAACAGGAGAAAGATATAACCAGTAAACTTACTGAACAGAAAAAGATATAAATAGGAATCTTACTGAACAGGAGGAAGATATAAATAGAAACTTACTGAACAGGAGAAAGATGTAAATAGAAACTTACTGAACAGGAGAAAGATATAACCAGTAAACTTACTGAACAGGAGAAAGATATAAATAGGAATCTTACTGAACAGGAGGAAGATATAAATAGAAACTTACTGAACAGGAGAAAGATATAACCAGTAAACTAATCGAACAGGAGAAATATGTAAATAGGAAACTTACTGAACAGGAGGAAGATATAAATAGAAACTTACTGAACAGGAGAAAGATATAACCAGAAAACTAATTGAACAGGAGAAAGATGTAAATAGGAATCTTACTGAACAGGAGGAAGATATAAATAGAAACTTACTGAACAGGAGAAAGATATAAATAGAAACTTACTGAACAGGAGAAAGATATAAATAGAAACTTACTGAACAGGAGGAAGATATAAATAGAAACTTACTGAACAGGAGAAAGATATAACCAGAAAACTAATTGAACAGGAGAAAGATGTAAATAGGAATCTTACTGAACAGGAGGAAGATATAAATAGAAACTTACTGAACAGGAGAAAGATATAAATAGAAACTTACTGAACAGGAGAAAGATATAACCAGAAAACTAATTGAACAGGAGAAAGATGTAAATAGGAATCTTACTGAACAGGAGAAAGATATAAATAGAAACTTACTGAACAGGAGAAAGATATAAATAGAAACTTACTGAACAGGAGAAAGATATAAATAGAAACTTACTGAACAGGAGAAAGATATAAATAGAAACTTACTGAACAGGAGAAAGATATAACCAGAAAACTAATTGAACAGGAGAAAGATGTAAATAGGAATCTTACTGAACAGGAGGAAGATATAAATAGAAACTTACTGAACAGGAGAAAGATATAAATAGAAACTTACTGAACAGGAGAAAGATATAAATAGAAACTTACTGAACAGGAGGAAGATATAAATAGAAACTTACTGAACAGGAGGAAGATATAAACAGAAAACTTACTGAATAGGAGGAAAATATAACCAGATAACTAATTGAACAGAAGAAAGATGTTAATAGAAACTTACTGAACAGGAGAAAGATATAAGCAGAAAACTAATTGAACAGGAGAAAGATGTAAATAGGAATCTTACTGAACAGGAGGAAGATATAAATAGAAACTTACTGAACAGGAGGAAGATATAACCAGAAAACTAATTGAACAGAAGAAAGATGTAAATAGAAACTTACTGAACAGGAGGAAGATATAACCAGAAAACTAATTGAACAGGAGAAAGATACAAATAGAAACTTACTGAACAGGAGAAAGATGTAACTAGAAAACTAATTGAACAGGAGAAAGATGTAACTAGAAAACTAATTGAACAGGAGAAAGATGTAACTAGAAAACTAATTGAACAGGAGAAAGATATAAATAGAAACTTACTGAACAGGAGAAAGATATAAATAGAAACTTACTGAACAGGAGAAAGATATAAATAGAAACTTACTGAACAGGAGGAAGATATAAATAGAAACTTACTGAACAGGAGAAAGATATAACCAGAAAACTAATTGAACAGGAGAAAGATGCTAATAGAAAACTTACTGAACAGGAGAAAGATATAACAAGAAAACTAATTGAACAGGAGAAAGATGTAAATAGGAATCTTACTGAACAGGAGGAAGATATAAATAGAAACTTACTGAACAGGAGAAAGATATAAATAGAAACTTACTGAACAGGAGAAAGATATAAATAGAAACTTACTGAACAGGAGAAAGATATAAATAGAAACTTACTGAACAGGAGAAAGATATAAATAGTGTACAATAAGATATAAATAGAAAACTTACTTGTTTAAGTTCAACACTGGGTCCAGTCAGTTTATATTTTTTAAAATCAAAATAATAGGTCAGAGTGAAAAAAGCACACCCCATTAACACCGACAACCACTCTGTGATCGTTGAAATAAGATACGGCACTCGTAATGTATCCTGTAAGATTAAAAAATCTTTAAATTAGACCAAACTTTCTTTCCGTTTTTTATAAGCTTTTATTTTTCGTATTGTCACTTCAGCTTTTGTCTTTAGAAGACACCACCAAAAATAAAAGCTCATAAAAAGGCGGAACGAAAGTTTGGGCTAATATTAATTCGACTGATAAAATAGAGTTAACAATGGACAAAAACTTAAAAAAAACAACCATTTTTTAACAAATATAACAACTTAAGTTCAGGAACAAGCATCTAGTTTTCACATTATCAATAAGCTTATATATCAGACTGTGACCTAGGCCAGTGCTTTCATAGAGACTTGTCTCAATACACCGAAATACCCAAATAAACCTATTTTCTATTACAAATTAAAGGAACAGATGCGCCATTTTGAGAGGTTGATTTGAGTCTTGAATATATGTATATAGTCTTCAGAAATACTAGAAATGTACGAACAACGCATAATTCCTTTAAAAATAATTCAAACTAGGAATTTTACTCGCTATTGCTATATATGTCTTTTCTATATATCACAGAGTATCTTATCTTTACGAGTCGTCATTTTGACATTCAAACGCAGATTATTCTGGACACACTTGGATTTGAAGGTTAAAATTTTGATGGTGAGCTGTGAAGACTATTACAGATTGGCTTAGCTAAAAAAAACCCGTTTCTGAAACTAAAATATGATTTGTCAAACAGGATGGCCTACCTGTCCCTTTAAGTAAAATTCTCAAATCTCACGCTAAACAAAGTAGAAATAAAAAGTAAAACAAACCCATTTGGTTCCTAATTCAGAAGATCTGCCATTTTTATAAATAATTTTTGATACAGCAACTAGAATAGGGTTAAGGATATATAAAAATAGCGAAAGCATTAAATCAGTCTTAAACACAATTAGAAAATCAGAATCAATAACCATAGACAATAACCGTAACTTCCCAATGAAAATTATAAGGCAGGAAAAGGTTCATATACATTGACTGTGATAACCACCTATCTTGTATCACTGAAAGTTGTAAATGCAGTGAGTTAAGCGGATTATAAGCTAGCGAAACTCTGTAAATAATAAAATATACATGTAATTAATCCTTGTAAGACATTTAGAAGTATCACAGAACATTAAGAAACAAGAATTTTATGGATATAAACTTAATTAAATTTATTATTTGAACACAATGTTTCATCACTTGAGAACGTAACCTGTATGTGTAATGTAACGTTACCTGTATGTGTAATGAAACATTGTGTTTGAATAATAAATATATAATCCATATATATATCCATAAAACTGTTATTTGAAACATGTTTAGCGTCCTGTCAAGGTGGCTGATTGGCTGTATTCACTGGTGTACAATCCAATCAAATCGCTGCATTCAGTGATACAAAAAAGTTGGCCATTGCAGACTGGAATTTGCAGTCTCCATATAACAAACATTGTAATACCGTGTCCATTATAAAGAAGGCGAGGAGGGTTGTAGATAAAAGAGATAATTCATGCAAAATAGATACAAATCAATATTTCGAGAGATCCGTAGTAAGTGAATTGAATTATAACTCAACATTAAGACTAAAGGGAAATAACTCTGTCGGATTGTCAGATTGTGCTTAATTCGAACACTATTTTACTTCCTGATATCAAGGTAGCATTTTTGCATACCTGTCAGGCCGACAACAATGTCATGAACTGGATATGCTTGCTTACAGTATACATTTAACAGACATAAGCATATAAAAACGAACCCATTAACTTAGGGAAATTAGGGAATATGGAGCACAGAGCAAATGATAAACAGAAAGTCCTAGCTGGTATTTCAAAACTAAGTCTTATGTATAAAAGGAATCAGGAACTGACAGAATCTCTGTTTTTTCTATTAAACAAACGTTAACTTGTCATCTACCAAAGACAGACCTAGTTGCAGTGGGGTTTCGAGGAACCATTAGGTGGAGAGGTCGAATATGTGCAACAGAATTATCACAAGGGCAAACTACACCAGGCATGTAAGAGCTCAATCAAACAAAATTTGAAATTTGAAGCCTGCCTACCTCATTTCCACCAAAGAAACATCACTGCCTGGCTGGTAGAAAAATTATGCCACATATTCTCGAAACAATCTTAGAGCTAAGTTTCTTAGAAAAAGTGTTAGAAGATAAGACCTTTCTCAGGACATTCAAGCACTGAGATCGTTTCGAAGGTTTTAAAAGTACAGATTTACAGACGAACAGCTCTAATCAGACATAAAATTAATATAAAAGGATACAACTAATAAGAAAGATGGTTAAAATTGAACTAAATACAATTTGTATTATTCCGATCCGATGAAAATGTTTGCAATCATCCACTTTATTCAGCTTCCAAGTGACCCAGGATTGGGTCCAGCAGTATAAAAACCCGAAACCAAATGCCAGGGCGGCTCCAGTATAATGCATTCCCCTCATGTCTACTGTCTGAAATAAATGAATGAATTTTAATATCCTATTACTATGTTACTGCTACAAACAAGACAGTGTACAATGAGGAAAATTTTGATATTATCCTACAAATTTTTAAAAAAATGTTCAACCATCGAGCAATAATTAAATTTGAAAATCTGGCAAATACATGTATATTATATATATATAATTTGGCTAGGTTAAACAGTAGCCTTTAACATCTGTATAGCTCAATCCAGGGTATCTTGGGAAGACAACTAGGTAAACTGTTGCATGGGGGGATCAACAACACAGGTGTGTCTATAAACAGTAGCCTGACTAATCCTGCCCTGCTTGTCCCATAGAAGTGATATATGGATGGAATATAAGGCACGTTGTGGGCTAGATATAAAATGTCTCTTTTTCTGGGAGATGCACCAACATACTTTTTTAGGTATTCTTAAAAACTAACATCACAAAAATGGGTAGGAGCAACTCTCATGGAGAAAGACATTTTATGTCTGGCCCTAAACGATTCGAAAAATCCCATTCATATATGATATACATGTGTACATGTCAGGAAAAAAAATCTGGAGATTTGCATTGAAAAATCTGGAGATTGGATGAAAAGTCGGGAGATTTTGTTTATATTGCCCTCTATGGGTCACGTGATATACGATATAACAGGTAGGGCAATATAAACAGTAACATACCTGAAAATTGGCCACCATTGACAGCCCGAAAGCAGATATCCAACCAAATGTTAAAAACAATTTATTTAAAAAAAGAACACGTTTGGCTTGGGTGATAAGATTTCTGGTAGCTTCTGTTTGGCTGGTAGTTTGAACAATGTAACGAATTATTAAAAATCGTATATATAGGTTAATAGCCACTGAAATATAACAAAAAAACATCCAGTTTATCAACTTGCTAGATTGATGTACATTTAGCTCAGGTATTTAAAATAACATTGAATGACATTTAGAGTTGGGGAGCATATAACAAAAAACATAGAGAATATATTATGGTATAACACAACACACTTCTTTAAAAAGGCTACTTCTACAACTGCTGCTAAAGAAATATAGAACCAATATAAATAAGATTGAACGACATTTAGAGTTGGGGAGCATATAACAAAAAACACATGGGAATATATCAAGTTGATCACTTTGTCAGTCAATTAATCATTTGCATCCATAAGTTTTATGTGTGTTTATGTTTACAAAACAAATCTTGTGTAGAAGCATGTTGTTTGGCCAGTTAGAAAATCACATGACATCATGCATAGAAATATTAGAGTTTCATACAATGCAATCATCAGACAACTGACCTATTTTCAGCCTGCATCCCTACTGAGGTTGGACAAGTAGAACTTATTATCATGTCTACATTTCGAGACAAATCTGTATTATCTTGAGAAACTTAATTCAATTTTTGTCAGATGTCATGAAATAACATAGCTCTAGACTTGAGACAATCAATCAAGTTGAAGTGAGGGTATAATTGGGGGTATAAACTATTTGCCAGGAAGGTAAGGAGCCTCAACTGGCACCGCCACTGATAGAAAATACAAATTAATGTCCATTTCTTAGAATCCTCAAGTTGACTGCTAAAAACCAGGATCAAGCTGAATAAATAAACCCTAACTCTAACCCTAACCAAAGAGCATGGCCTCTTACCCAGATACCCTCCTTCCTCACTCTTGCCTACCCTAAAATACGACCCCCAATCTTTTCCCCCTGAATACAGAATTATAACTTACTCAATATGGCCCCCACATTGACCAGCTGAGAGAACCAGCCTCTTTCTGGTGGGTGGACGCCTGTATAGCTACAAATAAACAAAAACAACATCAATCTGTGTCTTGGGTTCTCAAAGCAAGTAGAAGTTAGACTTTCATTTCGTTTTTTATTAGCTTGTATTTTTATGTAGCCACTCCTGTTAGGGTCTGTGTATCAATAAACTTTGACCTAACCTGATGACCCCTGCATTAACCAATCAAATTTAGAATTCCAAAAATTAAACTTGAGGCCCATAATCAAAGTAAGGGAACTCTCTGAAGAAAATTTTGAAGTCAACAAAGAGATTATTTCACAATCCAAAGAAACTATACTACTCGAGAATCGCCCTAGAATTGGGAAAAGTTTGTCGTGACCATTTATATTGACAAGATCTCTTTGAGTTATTGCCCTTGACTTGGGAAATATGCGACAAAGTTATTTGTGAACACAATAGAGTCGACAGTTTGTTTTTATCTGATTTTAATGATAGATTTATATTATGTTAAAGGGGCTAGAGAACACACTAGAGGTGACAGTTTATGTCAGAATTCTATGACATCTGTTGTACAAAGAAGCTATACACATAGAGAACTCAAAGAATGCAAACTCTTAAGGAAAAGGAAAAACCAGAATATTCTTCAGAATAGGGGAAAGATAGATAAGATATGTTTTACCTGATATAGGGAAAATCTGGTTCCACATGGCCGTATTCAACAGCAATACCATATCTATAACACAGATGAACATGATACATTTGTCTTAATAATTGCTCTAGATAGCATTTGATATACCAGCTGATAGAGCTCAATTTCAGCTATCTGTTAAGTCATCTAAATATTTACTTTACCAGCTGATAGAACTCAATTTGAGATATCTGTATAGTCTACTAAATATTTACTTTACCATCTGATAGAACTCAATTTGAGCTATCTGTATAGTCTTCTAAATATTTACTTTACCAGCTGATAGAACTCAATTTGAGCTATCTGTATAGTCTTCTAAATATTTACTTTACCAGCTGATAGAGCTCAATTTCAGCTATCTGTATAGTCTACTAAATATTTACTTTACCATCTGATAGAACTCAATTTGAGCTATCTGTATAGTCGTCTAAATATTTACTTTACCAGCTGATAGAACTCAATTTGAGCTATCTGTATAGTCTTCTAAATATTTACTTTACCAGCTGATAGAGCTCAATTTCAGCTATCTGTATAGTCTACTAAATATTTACTTTACCATCTGATAGAACTCAATTTGAGCTATCTGTATAGTCGTCTAAATATTTACTTTACCAGCTGATAGAACTCAATTTGAGCTATCTGTATAGTCTTCTAAATATTTACTTTACCAGCTGATAGAACTCAATTTGAGCTATCTGTTTAGTCTTCTAAATATTTACTTTACCAGCTGATAGAAATCAATCTCAGCTATCTGTTTAGTCCTCTAAATATTTATTTTACCAGCTGATAAAGCTCAATTTCAGCTATCTGTATAGTCATCTCAATATTTACTTTACCAACTGATAGAGCTCAGTTTCAGCTATCTGTATAGTCATCTAAATATTTAATAAACCGGCTGATAGAGCTTTCTATATAGCTATAAAGTCAATAGATGACTATACAAATAGCTGTGAATTTTATCAATTGGATAGATGCATGAATGAAAACTTACGTGATAATAAATGAATGAATGAATGAAAACTTACGTGAACAAGAAAACTCCTAGAATATAAATAGCAGTAAAAATGGGCAAAAAATGGATCTTTGAGGTCAGCCATGTTAAACAACCACACTGACATTTTAAACCAGTCTTCTCTTCAATTTCTTCTTTCTGAAATTACACATGAATACCAAGATATATAACTAAAAAGCTTAACATCATTACTGCCTCTAAGTACATATCAGGTAAGAGGGGCTGACATGGAAAAAAATTCTAGTAGTTTGGATGGGACAATAACAGCCTGGTTGCTACAAGGCCATGCATGTTAAAATATCCCTCGATAGTTGGAAGTCGAAAAAGAGCAGGCAAATATGGTACAGAAAAGTAGGACGTAAAACTCCATTCATTTCATTTCATTGAATGTGCTCAAACATCATCATCATTCCCTTTTCCAGCTATATGTTTGTCTTATCAATGATTTAAACATTAACAATAATAATTACCTGAATCAGAGTCATCTTAATAAACCCCATGATGGAATTTTACAATATTTTCTTCTCTCCAAAAACTTACTCAAATTTTATTCCAATATTATAATTTCAAATCAAAAACTTTTTCCTTAGACAAAAAAGAACACAAGAACCCTTCCAGAATAATCTGGATCAATTCTATGTCTTCCACCAAATACCCAGCAAACTTTTAAACCTTTTCTCAATCCAAAAATTACCCACGCTACTCATAAAAAAAATCTGACGTTAAGCTATTCCAGACAAATTTTTAAGAAAAATCTAATAATTTTGGTAAAATACAGTATTTCAAAATTCCTTGGGCACAAATATTCCAGTAGCAATTACAAGAGACCTACTCTAAGACTTAACATCTGCTTCCAAACATCCAGACTTCTAGGATCTCTATTTATACCAAAAATTTGTTCATTTTATCAGCTGATAGAGCTTAAGCCAACAAAAAAAAAGAAAACTGCATCTCACTAAAATTCTTTAACAGCAGACAAATCCATCAAAAACGTAAAATTCCTGCCGATTCCACCAAACAGAAGGTGACAATCCCAGAATACATACAGACAATGACGTATGACGTAAAATCTAATCTTGTTAGCCGTATACTGATAAACACAAAGATAAGAAAGCTTAAAGGAAATAACGGTGTGAAATGACATATTGCCAGTACGAAGAAAATAATCGTCAAATCACACTATAGGTCATATTCACAATATTAGTCATCGAATACAGTTAATCAGAGCACTTTATTACAGCAGGGTTTAATGTAAGCAGTATCACATCGCAGTTTGTGAGTCAAAATGATCCACTATTTCTAATGATGAGCCAAAATTTGATCGCGTTGTTATCTCTGAATCCAATCAAATAGTATATTTTTCGTGTTTAAGAAGGCTGGTCATGCTCTCTGTGCCGTTTCTACTGGGGTCATGCCCCCCTCCCCCACCCCTTATCTTGTCATTAAGTTCTTAAATGCCTTGCCCCCTTGGCAATTTTGTGACCTCTTTCTGACCCCTCAGCGATTGATTCATAGAAATGCGCCGGCATGCCGTCCTGTGAATGTTCAGATTAGAGCTGGGCAATGGGGCAATTCTTTCCACCAGTTTAGTTTATGAAAGGAAATGTTGGTAATTTCCCAGTGTGGAGTTATTATTCAGTCATTGTTTTCACACAAAACTTCCCGTTTACAGGAAAAACTTTTTTTAATGAATCTTATCCAATTTTCAGTTAGACGTCTGCTAGGCATTTTCTGACACAGCTATCGCTAGGCTGCTATCAATGTACATGATAAGGATAAACATTTCTTCAATAACAAGGATCAAAGACATCTGACAGAAAATAGGAATGATGCAAATAGAAGCCATGAATGGCCCTGATATACAGAAAGTTAGAAAAACAATTTACAACTTGTTCATATCAAGCTTAAGTTGCCTTTCCATTTCGCTTATTCATTTGAGGACTAATTCCCATTTGAGTACTTTTTTTCCCTAATGGTTCTAACTCAAGCTAAAAAATGTAAAACAAATTAAGATACAGGCCTGACAATATATCTAGGCTAATAAACTAGAACAATACTTCATAAATAAACTCCATCTGTGACACATTATTAGCTATATCTTAAAACAGCTGATAACAATCAACTTTTCATTCAAGAAAAAGTAGTACTCCCTGCGTAATAAGTACTTCTTACACCTTGTACTGGATAAAGGTATACAGTTTTTAAAGGGACAGATACACCATTTCGGGGGGTTGATTTGAGTCTATTATGTAAATAGTCTTCAGACTTACAACAAATATGTATGAAAATCTCATAATTCCTTCAAAGATATCTCATACTAGGAATTTCTCTTCCTATTTCTATAGATGTGATGTCTTTTCTCTATATTACAGTGTCTCAAGAAAAGATGACTCATCTTTTTAACTTTCAAACACGGATTATTCTGATCACACAATAAAATATGATGGCTTAAGTTTCGATGGTGAGCTGTGAACTGTGAACACTATTACTGATTAACTTAGCTAAAAAAAAATCCCATTTCTGAGAAGAAGGTAAAAAAAAAACCATGTAGCCAAAAGATGACTTTGAGATATTATCCTTAAAACATTTAAATAATCACCTTAGGTTGATTTCTCAAAGGTTCAAGTTCGGTGACTTCATTTTCTTCTATCGTTGTGATTTTTGAAGAAAGCACATTGTTGCCGTTTTGAATGTTGTTGACATTTTTGTCCACCACACGACCATTGGACTCGGTCGACTCCATTTTAAGTGTGACAATTCTTTTAGACGAATGCAAGAAACTGGCTATTTAAGAATTAACAAATTTAAAATAGAAAAGATGGGAATTTCGATTAGTAATGGTCAAATTCATGAGGAAATCCGGGTTCATTGTTATGGTTAATGTATCATCATGATAAAGGTCATGGCCTTGACCTTAGAATGGAATCAGACCACCACTTACCAATGCTTGGATTAATCTGATTATTTCTGACTACTGCTGTGTTTTATAATCCGATTTTTGTTATAACTTGTTTATTTCAATATCAAAAGGAAAAGACTCAGATTTTATGCCGATATATAATGAGTAAAATAGGGGATAAGAAAAAAAAGGCGCTTTGTATTTTGGCCGGTCGAACACATCATGCGTCATCGTGCCCATAGAGCTATTATATACGTCTATGATCTTGCAAAATATCGATCCCATCTCAGACGAGAAAAACACTTGAGAGTCAAATTCAAAAAGTAGAATTGGAACCAACAAGACTCGATACCTTAGATGGCGATATCCAATTTTTGCTACCGACGGGACTGGTTTAAAATCTGAACCCAAAGCAGTATTTTGACGACAACATCCCTTTGATTCGTCAATTGATTGACAGCTAAAAAGAGGGTCTATGATGAAAAGGGGTGTGTCTACATCAAAAGGGGCGTGTCTGTGTTGATCCTACCACGTGTCTAGAATTGAAGGGTGAAGGTCGGGAAAACACCTTTATCAATGACCTTCACATCGTAACCTCAAGCTCTAGCCTGTACCATCATGGCGATGAGGAGACGAAACAGCTTTTTTAGAAGTTTTAAAAATGTCGAACCGGATTGGGACGATTGTGTTTACGATCAGGGACACACGGCGGCTTCTCAGAATAAATGGGTGTTTGAAATTGCTTGGGAGGTGGCGAATAAAGGTAACGTATTCTTGTGTAATCCTGCAAAACAGAGAAATGTCAAAGACAAAATCAGTGAAAGCGATCGCTAACTAAGTGGAGTTCAGTGACCCACTAACTGACGTTCACTCAGTCAGCCCATGTTTCGTAATGGGGAATCTTACTACAATCTGTTAGTGCCAGCTTCAATGGCCATCGACTTTGCAATTCATAGCTATGCTTTGAATCTTTGTTCACTAGCCTAATAAGGAAGTTCCATGCAAGGTGGAAAATCCAGGAATAGATTATAGTATAGAACAGATTGAAAATTGTCATTTATAAACCCTTGCCTGGCCTGGTGATAATCCCAGAGCCCTACCCCTGCCTGTTGCCTACATTTACTAATTTTCTGGCTCTGTTTTCATTTTCACCTAATGACAATGTAAATTGTTGAAACCTTGTTAACAATGAAATTTATAAACCCAGGAGTAGATCTACAAGGAGTAAGCTTATATCATAAAATTGTTTTCGGTTGTTTACTGTGATCTCAGCCCTGCCTTATATAAATATGTCTCTTAATAAATGATTTTTTCGAGCCCATTTATGTCAACCCAACTTCAAGAGGCTATGGAAGGGGCACATCATTGAATTGTTGATACCAGTAGAGGACCAATTGCTAATAAAACAAGTTAACATCTAGGATTATCTTGTGTTTATTTATTCATTCATTCATTCCCTCACTCATTCATCAATTAAGACATTCATTTGTTCCATCACTCATTCATTAACACATTCATTCATTCCATCACTCATTCATTAATACATTCATTCATTAACACATTCATTAATACATTCATTCATTAACACATTCATTCATTCCATCTCCCATTCATTAATTAATACATTCATTCGTTCCATCACTCATTCTATTTATAGTTGGAGGTATCTATACAGTGATAAAATCTAAAGCCCCTACCACAGCGGAAGAATTGGGGGAGCAGTATTTTTTGATGGGACCGTATAATGAATCATGTGTAAGAACTGAAGTCGAGGTTTTAGAGCCACATAATTCAGTCGTCAGAGACGCGTTGACTGCTATGAGAAATGCAGGAATTAAGGTAAGGAGTTTTCTTTGGCTTACAAACTTTGCCATTGTCAATCCTTCCCTCTGATGCTGGGTCGGTAGCTGTGAGAGGGGTTAACAACTTTCGAACTAACGCTTGATTTGGAAAGCCTTATTTTTGTGGCAGTGGAATAGCTCAGTTGATAGTAAGTTGGATTGTCATCTGCTAGGTACTATAGGTTTACATAAATTCTAACCTTCCTCAGAGTTAGAACAGTTCAGATGTCTCATCCTGTGCTTTCCAAAGTCTGCACAATATCAGCCATCACTAAATATTCAACTGTCCTGCCGAGTATTGTAAATCAGAAACACATGTCAAAAGAGTAAATGGCTGAAAACTTAATATATAGATCGAAGGGAGTTTTGGCATATTGATGTCTGAATAGTTATGAACAAGTTTTTCTCTGTTTTAAATATCTGTAACACTTTTCAGAATTGAAATCTTACTTCTGGATCGGATAAAATTAATGAAAACATACTTATTAATGTAGACAGTGGACTATCTTGCAGGAGATAGCAACTTCACGTGCAATTATTATGGATAACCTCATGATATTGGTAATAACTACTCATGAAAATGTTATATTAGGGTATAGTGTCTGTTGACTGTTTGGATATGAAACGTGATATCTAGGTCAGGGTGAAATGTAGTATTGTATTCCTGAACTAGCTTGACATTGTGTCATAATTTTGGGTGCTTGATAAAAGGTCCCTTGTGCATGCACATCAAAGATCAGAAGGGCCTACTTGAAAAAAGCATGTAGTTGTTTGGATTGGACAACAAATCAAGGATAATGAAAACTAATGCTAATGCTGCTGTTTTCACCATTCCAATTTTCAATCAGGCGTCTGTGGTTCCTGCAATTCCACTGAAACTAAGTGTTTTATGACGTCACTAATCGCAATATATGCTTTATCACATCATCAAACACTTAGTTTAAGTAGAATTGCAGAAGTCTGATTGAAAATTGGAATGGTGCAAATTGATTCTATCAGTGTCCCCGATACACATACAATTTTAGAAAACCTCTGTACAATCCCTTTAAGAGGTAACAGCACAAAAAGTTTAACATCAGGTCTCTATGACATGTTAGCATAGCCTTCCTCAATGCAACGCCTGCAGCTAAGACAGGGTAAAATAATTGAAATAATCGATTATCATCGCTAAGAATTTATAATTTTGATTATCGATCATCAAAATACATAATCAATTATATTTTCTCCCGTGAACCTGTAAACAAATCAAAATTTCTTGCACATAGTTTCCCTTCAGCAGATCACTTACCCACATTAAACTATAACAACTGATCAAAGCAATAATAATACTTCTATGACACAAAAATAACCCATGGAATTCAAAAATTGGACATGATTTTTATTTAGTATTTAGAGGATTTCTGTTTTAGAATATTTTGAAAATTAATCGATTATTGATGGGTAGTCTGCCATCGATAATGTATCTCAAGTTGATAATGGATATGACAAAATTTCATTAAAGTTGTTGATTAAGACTAAAAAAATAACAAATTACTGAGTTGTTAAGTAGAAAGAGTATTATTGTTCAGTAAAAGAATTGAACAGATTGTGATAGTAAAAAGTGTGTTTAAAGTTTCTTAGTAATTTGGTAAAGATAAAAACAGTATTGATAGTTTGTTTGTTTGTTTTGTAAGACATAAGGTCTTTATTTATAATTTTGGTGTCAAATTTTGTATTGCAAACCTTGCTGAGTATTGTATAATTGCAAATATAAGCTTAGTGCACAAGCATATGCCGTATATCCCCGAACATAATGCACAAGCATGTATAATACGCACCCCTTATTATCCTCAAGTATATCTGGGAAAATCTCTGTCACTGTAAATAATGAGCACCCCCCCTTCCTGATGGTGGTATAGTAAAAATGCCCAGTTGACATGCTACTAGGTTGAAAGAAAGTAACAACTATATTTTATAAGAATAACAACTTATGTTCACAGTTAAGGATCCTTTCTACCAGCTGATCATTGACCAAACCTCTTGGCATTGATCTTTTCTGGATTATCTGTACCCATTTACAGCTGGGATGACTGGAATTATGAGCTAAGATGACAAGGTGGCAAATTGCTCGACATAACCAAGCAAATGACGTCATGTAAAGAACTAAAGCTCTTATAAACTGTGCTATGGAACCCCACAAACATCAAACTACAGAAATTATACCAAGATCTGACAGCTGAGATTAATTATTGATAATTAGATAAATTAAATCTGTTATACATCTTTATCATATCTTGTCTGATCTTTCTTAATATAGACACTGGATTTGATATTCAATTCTGGTCCTAAATGTGCTGATATCCAATCTGATCTCGTCCCAAGCAATGGGTAGGACCAGATCTGTCTTGATAGACGACTATATTTCATGAGTCATATATTTTAATTTATTCCAGGTTTATTTTGGAAGATGGTTAATAGATGGTTATCCAAAAGTAATATTGTTTGATATCGGGTCTGCAGCATGGAAACTCGATGAATTTAAACATGAGTTATGGAAGAACGCTAGTATTGGTATTCCTATACATGACCGAGAGTCTAATGATGCTGTTATTTTCGGGGCGTTAGTCACATGGTTTTTAGGGCTGGTAAGATTTATCTGATTTTCCTTGACTCCATCTACACAATGTCAAGCTATTGACTTGTACCTTGACTACAATAACCACTGTTCATGTACCTTGACTACAATAACCACTGTTCATGTACCTTGACTACAATAACCACTGTTCTTGTACCTTGACTACAATAGCCACTGCTCTTGTACCTTGACTATAATAGCCACTGCTCTTGTACCTTGACTACAATAACCACTGTTCTTGTACCTTGACTACAATAACCACTGTTCTTGTACCTTGACTACAATAGCCACTGTTCTTGTTCCTTGACTACAATAACCACTGTTCTTGTACCTTGACTACAATAACCACTGTTCTTGTACCTTGACTACAATAGCCACTGTTCTTGTACCTTGACTACAATAGCCACTGTTCTTGTACCTTGACTACAATAGCCACTGTTCATGTACCTTGACTACAATAGCCACTGTTCTTGTACCTTGACTACAATAGCCACTGTTCTTGTACCTTGACTACAATAACCACTGTTCTTGTACCTTGACTACAATAGCCACTGCTCTTGTACCTTTACTACAATAACCACTGTTCTTGTACCTTGACTACAATAACCACTGTTCTTGTGCCTTGACTACAATAGCCACTGTTCTTGTACCTTGACTACAATAGCCACTGTTCTTGTACCTTGACTACAATAACCACTGTTCTTGTACCTTGACTACAATAACCACTGTTCTTGTACCTTGACTACAATAACCACTGTTCATGTACCTTGACTACAATAGCCACTGTTCTTGTACCTTGACTACAATAACCACTGTTCTTGTACCTTGACTACAATAACCACTGTTCATGTACCTTGACTACAATAACCACTGTTCTTGTACCTTGACTACAATAACCATTGTTCTTGTACCTTGACCTTTGTGAAGATGTCTTGACTCCTAAATTTGATTACTATACAGATATTGTTGTGATGTTATTTTGTAAGTTACAATCGATATCTTTGATGCCGTTCAAAATGTTGTTTAAATGTTATACCTTGAAGCTGTGTCTATTTGTAAGTAAATTTGATTAAGCAGGAGAGCTTTGAGTCACTTTTGAGGCTTAAAGTTAATTGAATATTGAATCTTGTTTATCTCATGTGATAGATTTCACAATATCTGTATTTTTGAATTTTATGTTTGTAATTTCAGTTTTTAAATCTCACGCCTGGTGATCCTCTCATCATCGCCCATTTTCACGAATGGTTGGCGGGAGCGGGGTTAATTTATACCAGAACACGTAAATTAAATATCAGTACGATATTTACTACACACGCCACGTTACTAGGTCGTTATCTGTGTGCTGGCAACACAGACTTCTATAATAATCTTGACAGTGTAAGTACTGTATAACTGTGAATACAGCACTCAATATATTATACACACCCCTATTATAAGCTCCAAGAAATTGCATAGAATGAAAAATCCCTACAGTCAAGACATTTAGGTTCTATCTTTTGTCCAAAGTATGGCAAAATCTAGAGTAAAAGTTGTATAGCAGTGGACTCCTTCAAAGAGAAGTACCATCAGGTGTTTCAAAAAGAGTAAACATTGTCTTATTCAATTTATTATTATTATTTTGTAGTTTAATTTAGACAAAGAAGCTGGAGACAGACAAATTTATCATCGATATTGTATGGAGAGAGCGGCCGTACACTGTGCTCACGTCTTTACAACAGTGTCAGAAATTACAGGCGTAGAGGCTGAAAGTCTACTTAAACGTAAACCAGGTTAGTTTGATATTTTATTTATTTACGATGGGTATGGATATTCCAGTAACGATTATTGCCAAGAGCTCAGACCCAAGGACCAGTTGGTAGACAGAATTCTTGAGAAATTATGTTTTTGATTTATTGCTACAAGTAGTGATGGTATAAAGCTGTGTTTCCTTTAGTACGGATCCGGTACGGCTCCGGTCTGGGTGCGGACACGGTACATGTCAGGTTGTGTTTCCTTATATGCGGTTATTCATACGGAAGGGGTCTCTTTTCGACACCGATATTGTCAAGGTTCTTACAAGAACGTGGCGGGCTGCCCAAACTGTGTTTCCATATGTGCGTTTCAGGACACAGTTCTGCATACGGTTCTGTACCAATCGCTACATGGTCCGGTTCGAAAAACCATACCAGATGCTGCATACGGAACCGTATCTGCACCAGTATATAAGGAAACACTCTTACTTATTTTAATGAAAGTGATTTTTTCCGTATCTACATCCGGACCGGATCCGTACTAAAGTAACGCAGCTTTATACATGGTTAAATTAATACATCAACATGTGTCATTCCCTGATACATATATAATATATCTCAGTCATGTATCAATACTTTTTGATACCTGGCATCCTAGTGAAACATGTAAATATATGACCAAGAGATAGAATAACTTTTCAGACTATGACGTCATCATTGCAAAAACGTATCAACCCAATGTAGATCAAAGTTGTTAACCTTGTAAAATCAATGCCATGAGGTTTTGACCTTATATTTCAAAGTGATATTTCTAACTGCTAGCTTTGTGTAAAAAGAAAATAATTCTAATATTATCTATTTTTAGATATCATCACTCCTAATGGGTTAAATGTTATCAAATTTAGTGCTCTTCATGAATTTCAAAACTTACATGCTGTTTCCAAAGAAAAAATCAGTGATTTTGTTAGAGGACATTTTTATGGGTGAGTGAAGTGCTATTACTGTGGATATAATGCGCACCAATTCTTACCTCTCAGTACTGGCCATACCTCTCAAATATCTGGTTATTAACAGGTATAAAGTATCAAGTATATGTTGAACATTCAATGTCTAGCACTGTTTAAGATTTGGGTGGATTCAAGCCTTTATTTATTTAATTGCCGGGGGAACAGAATTTCAGATTTTAATTTATGAATAAGTTGTAAGATTAGCTGAAACTAAGGTGTATCTGGTAGAGCAATTATTTATCCCTCTCAAATAAAAGATTAAAAGTGGTTGAAACTGACCCAGATTCAGTGGCCCTGGCTTTGGAATTTTTTTACATGGAGAAGACATGCATACAGACAGGCATGGAAAAGGATAGGTCATAAATGTGAAATTCCACAGTTAGAACATTGTATCATAAGATTATTTGTTGAACAGGGCCCTAGACAGGAAGTTGTGGCCATGGGTTGTATTTATTTTCCATGTTTCTATGCACTTCAGTAATTTTGTTTTGTTTATTTCAGCCACTATGATTTCGACCTGGACAAAACGTTATATTTCTTCAGTGCAGGGCGGTACGAGTTTTCTAATAAAGGTTGCGATATGTTTATAGAATCATTAGCACAATTAAATTATTTTTTAAAGGTAAGTCAAGGGATGAATCATCTTCACAATGTCAAGCTATTACAAACTTCGTACTTATACCTTGACTGCAATAGCCACTATTCTTTTATCACATAATGCTGTGATTTGATGGGATTGTTCACCAGCGAATACAGCCAATCAGAGCCCTTGGCAGTAAGATGATATAGATGAAATCTATAAGAAATATCATAATCTGATTGGATAACAATTTTAGTGATTGACCAATCAGATGACTAGAATACTAAAATCATCTTAAGTAAGATTAAATAGATGAAATCGATAAGAAATATCATAATCTGATTGGATAATGATTTTAGTGATTGACCAATCAGATGATTTGAACGCTAATATCAATGAAATTTTCTTTTCAGTCAAGTGGAAGTGATATGACCATCGTTGCGTTTTTAATTTTCCCAACTCGTACCAATAATTTCAACGTAGACTCTCTTCGAGGGCAGGCCATTGCTAAGCAACTGAAAGATACAGTCTCTAGTGTACAGAATCAGATGGGAAAACGAATTTTTGAAATCTGCTTAAGGTTTTTAATTCTATAATTTATCAATGAAATGAGTCTATATTTTTTTTACTCTTCATGTTTTCTAGCTCTGATATATATTGATGATTTAATATAGCGTACAACGATACTCATATCATATCGTGTAGTCGAGATCACGTCTTGATGATACCAGGCATACTTAACAAATACAATACATGTTCACATTAAACTAAAAAAAATGACTCTGCAAATCAAGAGGGAACCAAATCATACACATTAAAGGGATTGTAAAGAGGTTTTCTAACTTTTTATGTGTATCAGGGACACTGGTAGCATCAATTTGCACCATTCCAATTTTCATTCTGACGTCTGTGGTTCTTGCAATTCTACTA